TTTTTGAGTACTGTTATGAGTGATAAGTTTAAATTTTTATTGGAGGGAAAATAGAGTTTTAGCTTTTAGAAAGGTGAAAAAGTAAGTGAAAAGTAAGTAAAAAGAGAGTTTATGAAAAGTTTGGATTTGAAACTTTTGAGCTTTTACTGTTTAAGAGCTTTTTGAGGTTAAAAAAATATTTTAAAGTGTAAATTTTTAAGAGGGAAATTTAAATGCATGAGACATGAATAGTATCCAAAAGCTGAAGCTCCAATAATCCACACCAAACAGGCCCTAACACTTTTCCTTTTCCATTCACCGATAAGAAGTTATAGGTTATAAAGTATTTCTGAAATTTAAAATTTTTTACTATTTCCCCTTTTTTTCCTTTGTTTTTTTATTGCTCTACCTTTTGGGCGGCAAAACATGCAAATCACCCCTTCAACTCAGTTCACGCGCATACTAACCCCTAAATTTGTCTGTAGTGGCAAATCAGCCCCTCTATTAAGGTTAACGGCATCCATCTGTTAAGTTTTAATCTTCTGCTCTTAAGCTCCTCTCTGTGTCTGATGTGGCTTGTTTTTGCTGAGATGGATGCGCCACCAGGACAAATGTCAGCAGACTCATCGTAGCAGATTAATTTACTTTTATACCCTTAAATTCTTTTGTTTTTCAAAAATATTTTGTTTAAAGATTCATGTAATAGTAATAAAGTGTAAACTATGTATTATAAATATAGTTTATTTTATAAATTCATTAAAATGTTTTTAAATAAAATAATAAAAAATAATTTTATTAATAATATTTTAATAAATTTCTATAGTAAATTACATTTTTAATATACAATTTATCATATAAAATATTTTTTTTATTTTTAATTAATTTTTATTTTGTTTTCAATTGTAATTATTTATTTTGTTATAATTTTTTTAACTAAAAACACAAATTATATTAAAATCCTTAAAATATACAGATAAAATCAAAAACACAACCACGGATATTATCAAGGAAATGGCGTTATACTCCAAAACTAGTGAACAGTAGAGTTAGACAATAACTTGTCATCCGCCTAACTAATTGAAAATTAAAAGGTAAAGTTTTCACCAAAAAAAGAAGGTAAAGTCCATGTCACCCCTCCCTCGATGTCCACGTCATCTCTACTCTCCTTTTACCCTTCCTTTTTCTCCTTCATTTCCAAGAAAAAATCCCATCATCCCACCCCCGCCCCACAATAGAACTCTTTCCTTTCTTCCTAATTCCCTCATCCATACCCACAATGTTATGAATGGTTTAAACAAGCTTGGAGCTGTACTCACGATACTCTTCGTCTTGTGTGTTTTCGCTCTCATGGCGGAGCTCGTTTATGTTCTCTGGCTGCGGAGGAGGTTCCGGCGCCGGAGCGTCAGTGCTAGTGGGGACTCGGAGATGTCTGCGGCCCAGTTCTACACTCCTTCAAAGGAGCTACTCTACTTCTTCTGCTGGAAGAACCAGTCACGGGTGGAGCCCGCTAGTGTCCCGCCAGTTTTGTCAAATGTTGCGCGAGACTCGGAGGCCCCCGCGGATGATGAAGTGGAGAAGTGGCAGGCGGCGTACGGTCCCTCCTGGCTTCTGTACATGATAAAAGGAAGAGGAGAAAGAAGGGGCAGAGGGCAGCGAGTATTCTGCGGAAAGTGAAGCCAAGAGCAGGAGCAGGACGGTTTCTCTAAGAGACGCTTTGGTGGCCACGGTTTTAACTAAAGCCGCTCTAGCCGCCAACTCCGCCGCCGTCGCCAATGAGGTGGAGATGGAGGTGCAGCCAGTGACGCCGTTTGGAAGAGGAGAAAGAAGGGGCAGAAGGAAGGAAGAAGACGATAAAAGCTGCAATAAAACCCTAGATCCCCAATTATATTTCACCAAACAATTTAAGGGCATAAAAGTAAGTCAATTACTCTGATCTGATGAGTCGGCTGACATTTGTCCAGGTGCGCATCCATCTCAGCAAAAACAAGCCACGTCAGACGAGAGGAGGGACTTAAGAGCAGAACGTTAAAACTTAACGGATTGATGACGTTAGCCTTAACAGAGGGGCTGATTTGTCACTGCAGACGAGTTGAGGGATTAGTTTGCACGTGAACTGAGTTGAGGGGTTGATTTGCCGCCAGTCGACGAGTTGAGGGGCTAATCTGCATGTTTTGCCTTTTTGGACCCTACTACCCTTCATTTAATCAGAAACGTCTCCTCAGTCTTTTTCATCTCTTCCATTTTGAGGACTGCTACTACTTCAATCCATGTCTTAAATTCATAGGCGAGTTGACTGAGTCGTTTGATGAGTTGACCTTGCAGGTGGACTGGAAGGTAAGTGAGGAGGAGTCATCTTGTTGGCCAATCTTGGTATCTTGGAGCACTAAATAAGATTATTCTCTTTGAGTTCATGTTTGTTTTCTTATATTTTTCTTCTAATTCTCTTCTTTCCTAGATCCCTGACTATCTGCATCGAGCAGCGGCAAAGAAGCTGAGGAATTAAAGTAAGGTTACCTTAATTAAAGATTTCTTCTCCTTTGATTCTTTGTATGAGTTCATAAGCAGTTTAGTTTAATCTGTTGTAATTACTATCTAGTACATTGAGTTCTCTAATAGTCTCCGCTAGCTACTAAGTTTCAGTTTGATCGGGGTATATGCATGCAGTGGCCTAAACTATGATCATATATAGTTTCTTAATTTTATTTTTTAAAATAAGATATTTCATTTCGGTAAATAAAGTTCATTTCGCTCAATTTTAAAGTATTTTTTACCTAATTTTTCAGTTGATAAAATTTTTCCTATATAAAGATTGTACCAATTGATCTTTTATTCTCTGTCATTCTCATGATATATATTAATTTGCTGTATATAACTATATATTGTTTGTTTGTTAGATCATCCACGTTATGGCAATGACAAATACTAGTACTGCAACTTTGATTGTCCCTCAACTTCTAAAAAGGGGCAATTATAAGAGTTGGAGCATCTTCATGGAAGACTATTTGATTTCTCAAGAGCTTTGGGATGGTATTTTTGTTCCATTTATATTCAGCGCTGATCATCCGCTGCTTAGTGAATCTGAGTGGAGAAAAAGGAATGCTACTGCTCTGAATGCCGTTAAGATTTCATGCGGACCAGAAAGCTTTGTTCGTATAAAGTATACCCGTTCAGCAAAAGATGCTTTGGATATGTTAGCAGAAATGCATGAAACAGAAACTGAAACTGATGAAAGCACTCCAAAGGCAAGCAATCCTCCGCTTTGGGTGGCAACTACGATTGTCCCCGAACTTCTAGAAAGAGGCAATTATGAGAGGTGGAGCATTTTCATGAAAAACTACTTAGTTTCGCAAGGTCTCTGGGTGGTTACTCAACGCAGTTTAAGGCCTCTTGGAGTTTCTAAAAGGGAGTGGAGAAAAAAGACCGCTGCCGCTCTGCATGCAATTCAAATTTCATGTGGAGAAGAAAACTTTAATCAGATAAAGAAGATCAATTTGGCAATAGAAGCTTGGGATAAGTTGAAAAAAATAAATATTGAAGAGCAGAAATCAAAAACAGATAATTCAGGTTCGTCGCATCTCTCTCTATGACATCATGTGTTTTAGATAGCCATTTGGTTTAAAAGAATTTGGCAAAAGATGTGGCATTGCGTTTGCGTGCAATTCTATGCTCTTTTTGCTTAGTACTATTATAATGTGTAAAATTCAATTTCCAACTTCTTAATCATGGAATTAGTTAAGGTTAATTTAATTCTAATAAATCTCACTTCAGAACATGAAGAAGGAGAAAGAGAAGGAGAAAAAAAAGGAGAAGAAGAAGAAGCAGAAGATGGAGAAAAAGATGAAGAAGGAGAAGGAGTAACAGGAGAAGGAGTAGAAGGAGAAGGAGAAGGAGAAAAAAAAGGAGAAGAAGAAGAAGCAGAAGATGGAGAAAAAGATGAAGAAGGAGAAGGAGTAGAAGGAGAAAAAAAAGGAGAAGAAGAAGAAGCAGAAGATGAAGAAAAAAATGAAGAAGAAGAAGATGAAGAAAAAGATGAAGAAGAAGATGAAGAAGAAGAAGAAGAAACTCCAAAGGCAAGATTAGAATTTTTTTCCCCTTTTGTACTCCCCCCTTCTTTGGGGATGTTTGGCTTTCAAAATAGCCGCTTGTCATTCTAATATTAATTTGTTGATATATGTGGTTAGATTAATTCTGCAAGTATGATTGTCCCTGAACTTCTTGCAAGTGACAATTATAAGAGATGGAGCATCTGTATGAAAAGCTATTTAGTTTCTCAAGATCTTTGGGATGCTGTTCTATACAGTTGGGCGCCAACTGGAGTTGATACAAAGGAGTGGATTAAAAAGGATGCTGCTGCTCTGCATGCAATTCAGATTTCATGTGGACCAAACAAATTTGATGAAATTGAGGAAATAAATTCCGCCAAAACTGCTTGGAATACCTTGAAGCAAAAACATATAGAAAAGCATCCCGAAGATGGTCCTCCCCTTCCTTTGATTGATTTCCTGGAAAAGAAAGGTTTGCCACGTCTCATTCTCTCTCATCACTGGGTTTTTGCAGTGTGTTTTGGATTCTATAACATTTTTCTTCTATTATTGTCCCCTTAAGGGGCACTTAATGAATTTTTTTTTTTAATTCTTCGTATTAAAAGTATCTTCAAGGCCATGTTTGGTTAAGGTGGGAAACTTTTCCCATTGCTTTCTCCTTAACTGGATTTTTTAGGGCTGATTTAATATGTTTGGTCAAGGTGGGAACTTGTCTTTGTCTGTCCTCGACCGGACAAGTCATTGTGCATTTTCTTTATTTTTTAACTTTAATTATTTGTTCTACTCCATTTATTAGATTTAGTTATCTTAATTTAATTTTTATATATAATTTAGTTAAATAATTTTATATAGTAAATAA